GTCAGTTTTGTCAGCAGGACAAAACTGGGTTGGGAAAACATACTGCATGCGTGGTTGGCACCAAGTAAAACAAGAACTTGTTGGCCCAGTCAGCAGTGCCCGTCAGGGAGAGCTGGCTGTAGCTTTCTTACAGAGAACACGCTTCCCAGCTAGCGTTCCAGCTAGTTAGGGTTTTCCATGGAGAGGTGCCCTCATGCTAACTGGTTCAACCAACAGCTGCTCCTTCCTTGTGCCAGTCCTTCATGTGTCAAGGGCTTTATCCCTATTATCTCTTAATCTTCACAGCCCTTGAGATAGGTGCTGTTGTTATCCCATTCAATAGATCAGAAAAGCAAGGCTTGGGTTACAGACCAAGCATACTCGAGAGAAGAGGTGGAGCTAGTTGTGTTACTTGGTCTGCTGAAAGAAGCATGATGCCCAGACCTGATCTGTAGGCTGCTGGGTGAGGCAATGTGAAATATCTACTTTGTATTTTTTTTTTTTTTTGAGACGGAGTCTCACTCTGTCACCCAGGCTGGAGTGCAATGGCGAGATCTTGGCTCACTGCAACCTCTGCCTCCCAGGTTCAAACGATTCTCCTGCCTCAGCCTCCTGAGTAGCTGGGATTACAGGCACGTGCCACCACGCCCAGCTAATTTTTGTATTTTTAGTAGAGATGGGGTTTTGCCATGTTGGCAAGGCTAGTCTTGAACACCTGACCTCAGGTGATTCGCCTGCCTTGGCCTCCCAAAGTGCTGGGATTATATTTTCTTTGTTTTTTAAAGACACAGTTTCACTCTGTCTCCCAGGCTGGAGTGCAATAGCATGATCTCAGGTCACTGGAATCTCCGCCTCCCACGTTCAAGTTCTTGTACTTCAGCCTCCTGATTAGCTGGAATTACAGGTGCCCACCATCGAGCCCAGCTAATTTTTGTATTACTGGTAGGGACAGTGTTTTGCCATGTTGGCCAGGTTGGTCTCGAACTCCTGACCTCAAGTGATCTGCCTGCTTTGGCCTCCTGAAGTGCTGGGATTACAGGCATGAGCCCCCACGCCAGTTTAGACGTGAAGTATCTTTGCTAAGCACTGTTTTTGCCAAGCCCATGGTGTGTGCTGAACGCAGCATGCTTGTGGACCCTATAGAGTCAGCCTGTTCCTTAAAGTAGGCGTCCAGACCTGTTCTTTGACCCAGCGGGAGGAGCAGCCGGCTCTGAAAAATGGAAACTAAAACGCCCTGCAGCTTTTTCCAGGAGGCGAGGCGTGGCCTCTTCCCATTTCCTCCTGGGGGCCAGTTCCAAGTCATCTCTCAGGGTGGTTGCTTTCCTGTCCCCAAGGGCCCTGGCAGCAGATCGAGTGCAGTCAAGCCAGGCATTGCCAATCCAGGCTCTGGGAATAGAGCATCCCTGCACGGGCCTCCGCGGCAGGCTTTTCTCCTGCTTGCTTGTCTCAAGAGAGTTTGGCACGTCTAGATTGAAAAGATTAGCGCAGTGGGGCTTCCCCAACGTTTCTTGGGGGATTATGTCGTGGTCTATTAAGCGTGTTCCCTCGGTATTTAATCCCACTCTGACACGGATTTTGCCGGCGTTTGTTAAGTGGCACCGCTGAAACCTGGTTGCTGTTTTGTGGAGATTGCCTTTGTGCCGTCGCGCCGGTGGCCCACAGGATTCCCAGTTGGCTTGATTTCCTTCCTTATTGATTTCTGTTGAACAGAGTCTGAGGAATATAGTTAAGACCTCGTATTCACGCAGGACGTTTAGCTGGGAGGGCACCTTGAGTGTCGTGAGGGGGCACCCCCTAAGGTGACCATTGGCAGAGATTAGCCTAGGGCTCGGAGGGGCTTGAGGGCATGACATGGCCAGATGGCACTGAGAGTGTAGCGATCTGTTCATTGTCGCCATCTTAGTGCCCCTTCATCAACCTGTAGCAATTTAACAACAAAAAATCCTCTATTTCTCTGCCTCTAAACTCTAGAGAAACAAAATTTCAAGTAGTCACAGCCTGTTTTGTGGAAAGTTGTGTGGTTGATTCTTTTTCAGCCCAGATATGTCTGGAGCTGTTAATATTGATAATTTGCAGAATCCCTCTTTGGCTCAGGTCTTTGTAGGGCGGATTTGAATGCTATACTTCTGTACCTTGGTGAGTCCCTTATTATTCATTTTCTTTTTAGCTCCCATTTACAAAGTGAGTCCTTTCTAGAATCATTCTGGATGATGGTTAAGGCTCTTGGAGTTCCTTGGATGGTCTTTTATGCTCTGCACCCAGGTGTTTAGATGTAGGGTAGCCTGTACCTTCATCTAAGACAGCAGGTGGTATTGGGACTAGGAAGAAGTCTTTAGCTGATCCTGGGCAAGACTGTCACCTGCTGTGCCGTTGCGTAGGACTTAGAGGAGAGGGCGTGCTGAGGCTGCCATCTGCTCCGGCTTAGCCGACCCAGTTCTGAAGATCATGCACCTGCCTTATGGACCAAGTTTCTTGTCACTTGTGTCTTTTTCCTATGAGGACAGTACAGAAAAGGAGATAGTCAACCTGGCGTAGATATGGCATTTAAAATATTAGTGGCCTGGGTGCTGATTGTATCCCTCTCAGCTTTATCCCTTCTAGGCTTAAGTGTTGAGAGTGTTGTTGCTCTTAGCTTTTCTTCGTGGAACCCCAGCCTGTACACCTCCAGTCTGTCCTGGGACTTCTCCCGCTTAGTCGGTCTATCTGTCTCTCCCTGCGTTTCTCTCTCTTTTTTTTTTTTTTTTTTTTT